ACACACTGCAAAAATTTATGTGTATTTAAATTGTTTACTTGTAGCAAGTTGTACTATCTATTTCATATTTTAGATAAAACCCTATGAATATAGTTGTATAGTTTGGGCATCTACAAGATACTTCTGCTGCAGGTGTGGGAATGAAATGTACCCTGATGAGTCGAAAAGTAAAATTCCCCGAGAATCAATCAGCAACTAACTTTGCTCTCTGCATCTGCATTCAAATACATTTTTCGCTTTGGCTGCCAAACCGACAGTGGGCGTGGGAGTGGGCGTGGCAGGCCGGGCTGCATTGACAGCATTTATATAAATTCTGTTGAAAGATTTTTGCACCAGAGAGATGGTGAATGTGTGCGAATTGGAAATGCACAGAACAGTCATTTTTGATTGCAGTTAAATGCATTAGACTTGATTGTATATTGCACACAATAGGAGTATGTGGCACATATGTAAAGCTATGTATTGGCACATGCACATAAGTAGACTGTCTTAGCGACTAATTCAAAATTAAATTGCTTTTCGTTTGCGGCAATTTAAAATCGACAGGATGAGGTAGTTTCTAAATAATTGAATTGCCCGTAAGCAACATGAAATGTGACTAAATTAACAATGACGATAATTGGCAAGCGCACTTGGAAAGATTTCCCAAAGCGTCATCATTTAAAGTCATTGAAGGCATCAACCCGATCGGGGTGGACCAAAATCGCACCCGCAGGCACACTCCACTCCAGAGATCTCTTGAGCAGAAGCTCGAGTGCCCATAATCTGATCATTTAATCTGCATTGGAAATCATTATACGCATTAAAGTCAAGCATCCCGAAATCGGAATCGCAGACACAGCCCGCAGATGGAGGCCACCAGAAAACCGGGGGCAACCACAGAAGCCACCGCATCGCACCACTGAGCAGTGGATCAGCAGAGGGCAGCGGAACAGCGGAACAGCAGAACAGCACCACCAGCACCACATACATATATGGACCATAATTTATGCCCGCCGATTGTTTCGAGCACATTCGCACACTTCACAATCTGTTCGTTCGAGTTACATTTTTATTGACAAATTGCGTTGATTTTTGCGCCGGCGGATGAGGGCCCTTTCCCCAGTTTCTGTGCCTGTGTACACGAGGAGCATATCTCCCGAGTCCCCGTATCTGTATCTGCAGGCCGGCATCGATGGCACTTCAAACTGCAAACGACCGGAACTAGCAATTGTCAATTTGATGATGCCTCCCGCACCGCGGAAAACATCCAAACGAACGAAGCATCGACAGCTCGACAATCAAGCAAACAAATTCAATTATGTAAATGCAGACATCAGCACGGAGAGGTACAGATACAGATACAGCAACAGATACAGCTACAACTGCCGAGATATAGATACTACCCAGAGATACGGGGAAATTATGCCACAGTAAGTGGGACAAGTACACGCGACATGCCGCGATGAAAGTGCAAAGGCAATCGAGACAAAAGTCAGCTCCATGACATATTGAAGCTGTCCGATTGTCCGCATGTCCGTTTGTCCGTTTGTCCGTTTGTCCGTGGTTCGCGTGGGCGGACAACGGACAGCGGACAACGGCCAACGGCCAACGGACATCCAGCATCCAACAGGCAGTATTCAGTATCCAGAGAATATCCAACTGGCGGTGCACTAAATTTTTCATTGAATCAATTGTCAAAACAAAGTTTTGGATTGTCGCCACATGGATCTCAGAACGGCCGGAATACCAGCCGCCGTTCGTGGTGTTACTTTCAATTGAGCTTAATTAAATTTGTAAGTGAATCTAGTGCGGGCCGCACGATATCGTCTGGCTTTCAGTTTCCAGTTTCCAGTTTTCAGGCATTCCCCATTCCCCATTCCCAACACTCCTCCAAGTGCACTGTCTGGGGCGACAATTTACATAATTCAAGTCATTTAAATTATCCGAAAACATTTCAATTCCAGCTCTTGCTCCACTTGACACCAACGCCCCCGCAGAAACACATCGCATCGCATCGCCCATTGTCTGCCGTCTGAATGATTTTGCGATTATGCAAAGTGCATTAATGAGCCTCGGACTTGGTAGTTCTCCAGATCCTAGCTCCAGGCCATGTACTCGCACAGCTATCGAGTGAATGGAGCCATGAATGAATGAGTGAGTGAATGAAAGAGTGAGTAAGTGAGTCAGTGGAGGAATAAATGGCTTGACAAACGCGTGTCTTGAATGGATGGCTCTCGCTGCGATATCACATTACAGGCCAAAGACAATGGCTAATGCTGCTAAATAGATTTGGCCCGGGGAACGAGAGAACGGAGGCCAATGAATGCCAAAATTAGTGGAGCCGGGCACGGGCACAGGCACAATGGGAATCTATATCCATTGTATTCCAATAGCCTGGGCTAACCCTGCGCAATAAAACAAAACATAAAAATACAAATGTCTCTGAATAATCGTATTCTAAAAGGAGATGTATCTAAAGGATACATTAAGCATTCGCTCGACAACTAAACGTCTTTTTAATTTCTTTTCGAATTTATTGTTAGAAATATATGCCACTGACATACGATTAAATCCGTAATTGTTCCTAACTTACATAGGGAAATCTAAAGATTCTTTTTTGACCGCTTGAGCCAGACATCTGTGCAACCCCTTTTGGCGGAACTCCCCTCCCCTCCCCGGAATCCCAATCCCAATCCAAATCGAAGTCGAAACGCACTCCCCCTGTGGACAGAATTGCTCATAATACGCTCGCACCTGCTTTGATCTGGCCGGGCATTTAACCCAATGCCGGTGCTGATCCCACTTAAGACCCCGGCTGAGCTGGCTGAAGCCGGCGAACCCGGTGAACCCGGCGGTGAACCCCTGGGCGCGAAATGGGACGCATTTCGAGGCGGAGATGCGACGATGATGCCATAAAGGAGATAAGCCCGTCGCATAAAATGGTGTCACATATGCGCAACATTAATCTGTTTTGAAATTATAAGAGTGGCGGAGCAGGCCACAGTGTCGCTCGGGTGAAAGATACAAAAAAAGATTCGAAATTAAAATAGCAGCCACGGGGGATGGGACGCCGATCTAAGGGCTGTGCGGTTGCAACGCCCCGCTCCCAAATCATATTCATATGCAAAGCGGGGCCAGCACAATGGCAGAAGTAATGATGCCAACACCGAGCGTGACATTATAACACTGGGAAATGAGGATGGGAAGCCAGAGGGAAGCCGAGGAAGCCGGGAAAACAGGGCAACAGGAGGCAACAATAACGAGGGAATTACGAGCATCAAAATGCGCAATGAAAATAAATTAAAGTTTCAAAAACAAGAGCCGCAGGGCGGGAGTCCCGGGTCGTCCGAGTCGTACCCTGTCCAATTGTGCAGGCAATTTAAAGAACTTACTGTGTAGGTGGACTGGACGGAAGGGAACTTTTTACTTTCGGCCGGAGAAATAGGAAATTTGCATAAATTGACAGCAGATATTTTTATAAGCCACCACATAATGACCACTCGCAGCAGCTGTAAACAGCTCGTAAAAGCAATTACAGCCGCCGACGGACGAGGCGGGGGTTCCACCTAAAGGGGCGGGGGCGGGGGCGGGGGCGTTCTGCCACCACTGCCCACTAATTATAGGCAACTTAAACGCAGCTAATTTTCACACTTGGAAAATGATTAAAACTCCATTTATCTATGTGGCGTGCGAGTCCGTCCGGTTCTGGTATTTGGTATTTGGTGTTTGGTGTTGGGTGTTTTTGTGGCCGAAATAATGCGTGTATGTTTTGGCCAAGGAGCAACAGCGTGAGATCCGTGGATCCAGCGGGAGAGCCACCAGCTCGACACCTTGGCTAATTAATATTAATTGAATTTCTTTGCCCATTTCAGCCACTAGGGGCGAGTGCGTGGAAATCCACGCAGCTGTTGTCGGGTCGGGTGCCACTCGATTGGCATTAGCAGCGCCTGCCAAAAAATAACAGCCCAATGAGGTGGAGAATGCGATGGTATTTGGAGCAGCACTGTAAGAAACAACGGTCAGAAAAAATACACAAAATGTATGAAAATGTAAGTGGTGATTCCCAGTAGCTGTCCTCAAGTAAGGAGGAACATTTACCCATCACCCGAAGGTAGATACTAAAGAACTATAAGACCTTACCCGCTTTTTTCCCAGTGCAGACCAGAAGAAGTGCATCCAGTTCCCACCAACTCGGAACTCGGCTAATGCCGGGTCTAAACGATCACGAAAGCCGGGGCGGAAGTCGGAGCAGATGAAGCGTGCTCCGCACGAACATTTCGGGGCAATTATAGTTCAATTATATTGGCCGAGAAGCGCCGAAGACATATGTACGTAGCGTATATGGCATACTAGTATTGGCCAGCCAAATTGAAGGGGCACGCAACGGTCAAGAGCGGTCGAAAGCAGGGTCAGTTGGCGCTGCTCTAAGGGTTCCACATTCAGTTAAAGTTGGGCTCGAGTTCGAGGGCCAGCCAACTGACAGCTGGCAAATTGCGAACGGACCCACGTCAGTTGTCAGGACGCAGGACAGCCAGGATTTCCCATGCCCAGACTGGACGTTGGACTGGTCAGAGGTCAAGCCGTGAACCCGTTTACTGGCACACACACACACACACACACACGCGAACACACGCGGAGTGGGAGTGGGAGTCGATTTAAAAAGACTTTCTCGATTGGTTTTCATAATCTTTTATTTCATAATTTATTACAGTTGAAAATTATGTTCATATTTCCCATATTCTGTTTCGCCCTTGCTGTTGCTACGCCTTTTATCGGGCGATTTGTGGCGCCAACAAGTTCAGGAATTCGTTAATTGGTTTTTAGTTCTTTACATAGAAGCTTCAATTAGTTAATTAATTTAATGATACTGTTTCCTTTCAATATATTTATATTTAATTCATTCTGGCCTTTAAGTCTAGCAATTTAGTTAAAGTTAATTTTTACACGCACAAACATTTATTTAATTCAATTCTCCATATAAATATATTTATAGTTTTTACTTCTTAGAGTTTCTTTTCTTTTGTTTTATTGATTTAATTTCTGGATTTCGCACTACTGAGTTAGCTCTCCCTTTCTAACTCTCGTGCTCTGTCTCGCTCGCTCGCTCGCTCGCTCGCTGGCTCTCTCTTTCTCGTAAGTGTGTCTTTTCTATTTCTAGCTCTTTCATTCTTTTGGATTTACTTGATGCTGTCGCGTGGGTAAGTTGTATAAATTGTTCTTTCATTTTAACATGTCCTTTGTTAATTTTTTTCTGGTGCACTTTAGTCTATGCTCAGGGTTGCATTTCTGCGCCCTATCGTCCCTTACCATTTATCGCTAGGATCTAGCTTTAGATTAGGTTTAAACTTAGCTCTACAATTAGTGTAATGTACTTAGTGTGGGTGATGTATGCAAATGTTGCGTTATATTTACAGTGTAGTCTACGGGGAAGTTATCAAAAATGTACAATATTTATTACATACATTACACTTGAATATGTAAATCTATAATCGATTTATCAATAGTAATAATCATAATGGTAATAATAATGTTGCTGCAGCACTTTATAATCATATTCATAATATTTACGGCGTATACATTAAAGTTTCGAGAAAAATCACATTTTAATTTAAATTCTGACACGAAAATGATTTCAAACGAAAAAGCTTTGCAGCTCGTCCTTCCCATATACAATGCGTATTATAAATCGTATAGCTCATTATCTGGATTATTGTGGGTGCCTATCCACAGCGATCCGATACGCACAAGTATTGCCATATCCCCTCATAATCAATCGCACTGATTTAATTTACAAGCTTTTGTCGGTTCGGCGCAGCGGGCAAATCCCCCAGATACAATGCTCTGGATCAGATACTGAACATCCCCACGATCGAATGTTGAAGGGGCATATAAAAGAAGCTCATACAAAATACTTAGAAAGTCTCGGGAATTCTCAGATCCAACTACTGTGGGATATCACTCGCTGCCTGCCGACTCGACTGCATTTGGTTCCCTTTTCTTAAGCCATAAAGTGTATGATATATGTATATATATACTATTAGAGATTTATTAAAATTTAGTTAGGTATAACTAGGTTAGTTTATGTTCTGTATATAGACTCGTATACATCATTCATTCATTCAATGCTTCCACTTTGGTTTCTCATTTAAGGCGTTCTGTACAATTTGCGTTTGCGTTTAAACGTTGCTCAAGTCAATTGTTGGGTCGATTATTTAACTACTTTATATATATAGTCTAATAAATTACTAGCGATGCGTACTCGTACTCGTATATCGTATAGTTCTGATGTATAATTGTGAAAATGTTCGATTTACCTTTAATTCAATTTCGATTTCTATTCGCAATTACAGCATTTGCAATTTAGCAAAATTTTGTAAATAAATTTATCGCTTCGCTTGTTAGGTGCAAAAAATTCGCATAAGGTTTTCATCCTTGGGGATTCTTAGAGAAGTTCGTATACATTTGAGTGATTGTTTCGAGTGTAGTCGGTAAGAAGTTAGATGAGTTTGCCTAAGTGTGTCTGCCAATAAAATGTTGGTTTCCCATGCAAAAGAAGCTCAAGTTTCGTTCAAAGAGCAGGCTACGTAATCCATCTTATTTCGCGTTTGTATTTTCAAAATAGGTACTCGCTTTCCACACCTTCAATCTATTCATAGTTAATAAGTTTCAAACTAAATACTTAAATTTCGATTTGTTGCCCTCTGCATTTACGTATATTCGTTACCATTTAAGATTAATCAGATTCACAAGCAATGTAAATTCAATTCAGTTCCTTAGCATGTGACGCGTCTGCCAAAAGATCCAACAGGAATAAAAATAAAGAAATCCTGGGAGGGAAGGTAAGGCTCTTGGAGTCTATATTCCCCAAAAAATCATATGTAGGTATTCGCCCGCGCTGAAAATAAATCATAACCAAGCAGAACCAAAATCAAATAAAAACACAAAGAACGATTATTTTTTCAAATATTTTCTCATATATGCATTTTTGTTTTCATCAATAAATCATCTCTCGTACAGTTCTATCCTCTTGAATTAGTTAAATTTAAATCATTAATTAAGTAAATGTAATAATAATAATAATAGTTAACTAAGGATTAACGCATACAAATACAAATTAGAATACATAAATAAAAGTACAGTTTAAACGTAAGCATAATTTATTATTAATATTACGTATACATATTCAGAGTTATGTATATGCCTATGCCATTATTTGTATCGTACTGTTTGTTTCGCGCATAAAATCCATACGTATACATACATATTAATATATATATTCAAATCGGTCCGTGTGCTTCAGTTGGAAAATAATACTACAAGATCCGCACACAATGAAAACTCTAAAACAAATTCAAATCGTAATGTTCCTCGTCTAGTAATCATCTCTTCCTTTTGTAAAAATTAAATTCCATTTCGTTTTTACTTAAGTGTTGCAAGGCATAAAATTAGAAAACAATTCAATTTATTTAAATTAATCGTCTAAACGTAGGATATAGTAGGGTGCTATCGCCTAAACATAGATGTACGTATGTATCTATAGTTTGTTATCGATTTGTTTTGTATGTACATATACATATGCGTAAAGGTATAGAAAACAAAGCGTTACTACAACTGACTTGTTACATAACTAAAATGAAACTAAGAACTAGCAAAGAATTCTCCTCTCGTCCTTCCATTGCGCAAATTATTTATATTCAAACTTGATCGAATTTCGCTGCTGCTATTGGTTTGGTTTTCCCTTGATTTCCTGGTGGGGCGGGGCATTTTCTAAATTCAAACTAAAGTCTATAACAAATCCGAACGAAATGTCGCTTTAATTTTGTATGTGCTTTCCAATTTTGTATCCTTTCTGGACTGCGCCTAAATTCATGCTTTAAAATGTTGTGTTTTGCACTCTGCAGCTTTGAACATAAAAATTTGCATTTCAAATTGTTGTGTTGCGTCTCGGTGTGTCTGTGTGTCTGTGTGTGTGTGTGTGTGTGAGTGTGAGTTCTGGTTTTATTTTGTTTATTTAACTTATAGCTAAGCGTTTCATTTTTGTTTATGCATAAATATTTCTTTTTTCTTGCTTTTATTTTCCCTTTTTTCTGCTTTTGTTATTTATGTTTAAGGTATACACAAATAGTTTCTTTTAAAATTTCTGGTTTCTTTTTGATGTGGTTTGTTGTTGCTGGTGCTTTTTGTTGTTCTGGATTCTGCTGTTTATTTTGTTGTTGTTGTGGTTGTTGTTGTTGTTGTCGTCGCTGTTGCTTAGCTAATATCATTTTGTATAGATTTTACTACATTTGTTGTTCTTTGCTTGCTGTTTTTTGTTTGCTATTACTTGACTGATATTGCCACGCGGTATGCTATAGTTTGGATCCTTGTGTATTCAGCTCCTTCGTCCTTTGTCCTTCGTCTCCAGTGTTGGGTGGTGGTAAAATTTAAGCTATGATTTTGGCTTGATCGCTTCCGGCGGAGAGCTCTCTGGTTCCACTTGCAGTTCCAGTTCCAGTTCCATTTCCGGTTCCGGTTCGGGGCCGGATTACGAGGATTACAAGTGCTGGCCGTAGTACTCGGCGGGCGGGTAGTGCGGATAGCCCTGATGGAAGCCCGGATCTCCGGGCGGACGATGCATCATATGCGCCTGGCTGTCCATCATGTAGCCCATGGCGTCGTGGCCATATCCGGAGGGACCTGGATGCGGTGTATAGACTGTTGGTGAGTCGCCAAGTGGAAAAGGGCGGAAAACGGAAGAACGGAAAAAGAGAAAAAATGCACATAATTAGAAATTGCGTTCGAATGGATGGCAAAAATAAGCGAGGCGATCCTCACGGCTCACCGCACTTAGTTCTTAACTAGATCAGCGCTATTTCATAGTTATGGAGATTTTTTTTTTTTTTTTTTTGTATTCATTTTGAATAAGAGCGATAGTTACCTGCACGATTCGATTGATCGATCATCGGCTGGACGATTCTCCGCCGCGCATTGATGAACCTGTAAGCAGACAGAAGGTATCGTTTTAGTGGCATTCCCTAATTAAACACACCGCACCGAACCGCACCGAACCGAACCGAAAAGGATCGATGAATTATGCATGAATTGGCCCGGATTTGCCGGGACCACGGTGCTTTATGTGCCCAACTTAGCCATAAACCAAACCAAATCTCCGCCAGAGTCACACTTTTTGCTGCCCTGCCACGACCAGATCAATGGGCCTCGCCGACTTTGGTTATGATTGTCGTTTAATAAATGCAATAAGAAATAATAAGCAGTTGCCCGTTGATCCGCAGGATCAGTGCCGACACAAAAAGCGCAAAAAGAGCAAATGATTAAAGCAGAAAGCCGCCGGCCGAGTGACAGTCACTTGGCCAAGACGATGTTACCCGCAAGCTTTGACACGGCCTCAAAAAAAAAAACACAAAAAACCTATATATAATGCCAAACAGCGAAACCAGCAGCAAAACCCAAACGGGGAAAAGGAAAAACATCAGAGGCATCAGTTACACTTGCACCGAGAAAAACTAATGCCAGAATTGGTGTATATAACTGAAAACCCACATTTGAATTTAAATACCTGGTTTCTAGAATTGCTCTAGCAGAATACTTGGGCTTGCAGGAATACTTTTGTGAGCGAAGAGGGCATTTTCTGCCAGTGTACAGCGACAGCTACAAGGACGCCAATGGATACTGCTACTCGCATTAGCCAAAAACCGAGTTAGCCGAGGTTAATGCACTTGGGAACTGGGAACGGGGAACTGGGAACGGGGAACTGGGAACGGGGAACTCCTCCTCCAAACGGATTGAAAAAGGGAACATTTCACCGCTCGCCCCTTTGACTTTTCAATTTGCAGTTCAGTTCGTTTGCGATCTGCCCCTGATTTTTGCTCATTTTGGGGCGGAAATTGTTGCAACGCCCTGAAATCGTTTATCAAAACGACAAAATGGAATTGAGTTCCGTTCTGCCATATAGATATTCGCTGCCTCGCTTTCCGCGCATTTCAAGATGCAGCAAATGATTCGAGTCGAGTCTTGTAAGCTGCAAATCGATTTGCCCGCTGGCCTCGCACTTGATTGGAATGATTGCAGATGGTATAGGAATATGTATGTAGGCTCAGATAAGCACAATAACTCAGAGCAGAGAAGTAAGCAAACACTTGCCAAGTTATTTATGTACTTAGCCCATAATTATAACTTTTCTTCCTGCAGCTGTAACTAAGCGTTAATATTTAAAACTTGCTGGGCGGCAGAAGCAGCAAAAAAGCGAAACTTTTTCGATTACGAAAGTTACTTTTGCTGTCTGGGCATCTTATTGGGTGTTAATGGACTTCTCCAGAATCTCCTGGTCATTTGAATGGCTTCTTATGCGCAGTTCCTGCCGCCGGCTCAAATTGCGCAAAATAAATACACATTTAGAGGGCTGTAGTCCGGGGGCGATGCGATATTCCCCCAGGATTAGTGTCCTGCCCGCTCGGAGCGACTGGCTCAGCAAAAGGTGTCCTGCCCGCCTGCCCATAAATAACCAAAAGTGTCAACATTTTATTTTGCTATTTTCTGCCAAGGTTTCTCCATCCATGCAGTGCCTCTCCTGCCCAGCTTTGTTTTCCTTTTCCGCAGGACCTTTCTACGCAGCGTTGCGTGCCTAAGCGAATCGGATGGGCAGGGTCCTTCGGATACCATAGTATTTGTTAATTTGGAGTGTGCTTCGGTGAGCGCGAAATTCAATTTAATTGAGCTGAGTGCCTGCCAGGCGGCCCAGCTCTCACACATTTCTCGCCGGATTTTATTGTGGCTTGTCTTGGCCTAAAAGCATTCCACGACAAGCCAACCCAAGCGAACCCAGGCCAACCCAGGCCAACCCAGGCCAACCCAAGCCACGTCCGAGCAAACTGCATAAAAGATTCAGCAGCGCTTTTAACTTGCTTGAAAAGCTTTTCCATCTCCATTCCTATTTGCGCATCTTGTAGTTTGGCTGCATGTTGCAGTTCTCAGCTTGCCGAGTGTCAAGTTCTGCCGGCTGTCGCATAATGTGCAAAATTTGATGAAGTTGCCGTCTCCCATGTATCCCGAGCCTAATGCACTCCGGGATCTCTAGGATTTCCAGTTTTCAGTACGCCAGCTTCCCCCGTCCCTATGAACAGGGCCCATAATTTTGTTTGCCACATTCTTTTCACCTTTTTGCCTGTCGACCTGTGGCAGGTTCTATTTCTTCGGCGTGGGCTGCCTTATAAATTGGATTCCCGTGCGGTGTGTACCATGTGTGTGTGCTCTGGTTTTGGTTTTGGTTTCGAGTTGGATCTTACGGCCAAGTCAGGGAATAAAGCGTGTGAGTAATGGACAACCCAGGGCGTCGTTTACCACATTATGATGTTGTGTGCTGGAAAGGATATCTGATCCGATGCGATCGGATCTCCGGCGGCTACTCACCAATTATTCACTTGCAGTATCGTTAGGCCGGTGTCCTGGGCCAATTGTTTTTTCTGGTCCTCGGATGGGTAGGGATGCTGGAAGAATATGCGAATGTGGTTACAACATTTGTACTGTATATTTGAATTTTAAGAGCTATTTTGGTACAACACACTTGTATATTATAATGCTTTTTGTGCCAGATGAGAGTTGTTTGCACGGAGTGAGCATGGAAACCCCACTCCTGACACCTTTAGCACATCGAATTCGAATTCCGGAGCTGGGCAAACTGTTGCAGCGCCCAAATTTACAATCTATCTAGCCAAGAGCCCAAACAATCGATCAATCATGGCCGCAATAAAACCGAATGGGAACCTGTCAGCCCGCGTGGCTGGCTGCACTTGAAACGCAGCATTTTCGGGTGTTTCGGGTGTTATCAGAGGGCCGGTTGCAGTGCGTCCTCCTTATCAGCAGTGCCACTCAGAGTGTCCCCAATTGCCGCCACCTCAGGGGGTTAAGCACGGGGAATCGGACCGCTTGGAGTGGGTTAACTGCAATTGGAGCGCGTGTCTAGCGCCAAATGGGCAAACAAATGCCAGCGAGTAGTCCACTTCCCATAAATCTTGCAGTCGGACCGCCGACACAGTGGCGTCAGTGGGTAAATAGTTTGGCTAAAGTGAAAGTGCCACTCCCCCTGGACGGTCGGCCCGCCCCTTAACCCCTATGTCTGCCCAGCAGCTAATCTAATCGGCTGGCTGGCCTGGCGCTTATTACAATTTGTTTTATTTGCCTAGTTGTTGTGCACTTATTGTTGGTTCAACGATTCCGATCGAGCACAATTTCACTCCACTAATGCTGGTTTGTTTGGCTGTTACAGGGAGAAAATATCCGTAATTATATGTATATGTACATTCCAGGGCAGTGCTTTTAGCAGTAGATTTATCATATCTTCTATTTTTTGCAGTGCATCACAGGCAGCGGCTTAACCAGTCACCTGGCGGCTGTCAGAAAATTATTTCTAAGGATCTCCGCTCAGCGGAAGTGGCCGTCACATGATTTTGGCTTTGTTTCGCCCTCGAAAAATCGGGATATTCTTGTGCGCGTGCTCGAAGGACGAAGGAGTCCTTTGTGTTTTAACCCTCGACTGGCCGCTTTCGTTTCCGGCAGCTGTGGGCGGTTCCTGCAGCTTTTGGGCCACTCGTCACCAGTCGATAATTGTGATTCAAGGGGAGCCCACTCCGCAGTCTGCAAATGCAATTTTGTCCTTGCACTGGGCTAAGAAATTGTCTGCAAATTTACGGACGGCCCGAAAAATATATGAACTGTCACCCATACACAACGCCGGGTTATACATGTAAGGCGGGGCCATTCCAATCGAAATGTGCAACGCTGCACATCCTTGTCTTCGTCTGCGTCATTGTATTCGTGTGTCTGTCTGTGTGCGGGCATGTCCTGGCCGCCTGTAATGCAATTTAGTTGCCGCTGTCGCTGCTGTTGCTGCTGTTGCTGCTGTTGCTGCTGTTGTCCTGCAGCAGAGAGGGCTTGGCCTGTGTAGCTGTAGCTGTGGCTGTGGCTCCTTAAATGCATTTGCCTTATTGTTTGTGTTTAATAAATTTTACGTGTTGTCTTGCTGCTGTCCAAAGTCCAAGTTGTAGTCCTGCCCGGCAGCAATAGTTGTTTGCTGTCCTGTCGAGGCCAGGACTTTCAGCCTGACACGCCCGCACTTTCGGAAGCAACAACAAAGCAGCCAGATACCAAATACTATATGAAATTTGCGTATTGACAAATAAACGTAGAAGCCATGTAAATACAATGGACATGCCACTGGCAATGTTGCCCCATTCCATCGCAAGTGCTGCTGCTGCACCTCGTTTTCTCGTCCATATAAAATGTTCAAGAAGTCAGAAGGCATAAATTACATGCAGGTAAATTAAAACGGAATTTATAGCATACTTTGTGGCGCACATCTATTTGCTGAGATGGCTTTCTCGCAAGGAAAGGAGGCAGTGGGTGGGCCTGGCTGATCCCAGATGCAGGTGGAGCCTGGTTATTGATTTGATGTTGTGGCCAACACGAGCCGAGACATCTGGCAGTAGCAGGAACAACTTTGTGGTTGTCAATGGGAAAGGAATGGCCTGCGAACTTCGAATAATTCGAGTCCAACTTCGGGAATAGCATATATTTTGATATTTAATGCCTGCAGAAGTGGGGCTACAAGCCGAAATATAAATCAGCTGTATGCGTAACCCCACTAGCTGGCATCCCAATTTATAACAGTTCTACGAAGAAGTATCAAATAAATATTTTATTTCCAAATGCCCAAGGTTTTGCCTTTCATGCATCACCAGTGCCAAGAATAAGATCACAACTAAGTCCATTACCTTGTGAGCTGCAGCCCCACAGCCAAAGACAAAGATTTCTTTAGCAACTATGCGACAGACTTGCCCCAACCGAGTATAATCCCCTATATATCTGGCAGGTCAAGTTCGTTGACTTGTCCGACTCTTGGGGATCAGAAGTGCATATGCATATATCATTCGCAAAAGCTTTTCTTTCAACGCCTACTCTCAGTCATGAGTGTGCTCCCAAGAGCTTTCCTCTGCCCCGGCCCCTCTGTCTCTGTCTGCTTAAGCGTTTTTCTTTCAACTGCACTTTGTTGCACCAATTAGACTAATGAAAGCAATTATGCATTTCGCACTCACACACGTGTGGGGAAGTGTATGCATGTGGATGTGCAGAGAGTGCATAACATGTCAAGTAGAAACAAAGTCCATTTGGTTTATTAATTTACCATACGACAAAATAATTAATTACTGTCACGCCTTTAAGTTGTCGCCCCAGCCCCGGCCCCCAGTCACTCGCGCCGTCTCTTTCTGTCGCTGGGCTGGCCGTCTCTTTCTTTTTTGCTGTCTTCTGTCCCTGTGGCAACTTGACTCGCTCCACTTTTTTGCCAGCATATTTTCACTTTGTTGTGTGTTTATTTAAACTTGGCAAATGAATTTAAAACAATCATCGCACACAGATGTGTGTTTAGTGTGTGTTATGCGGCGGGGAGGGGGATTGGGGTGTGCTTACTCCTTTTCTCCCCCTGCTGACAAGTGGAAGGCCCTAGGCCCCAAAGAGAGAGAGAGAGACCCCCATTTCATTGGACCTGGGCCCAATGATGTCAACATGACTGCAACGCCGTGACACATGGCACAACAAGCCCAAGAAGTCAGCCCCCGCCCCCTGCACTCCCCGCCCCTGTCCCTTCCCCATCCACGTACACATGAGGCACCAACAACGGGCAACCAAGCGATGCCAGCGATGCCGACGCCATTAACAACGCCAAATGCGACGCCATTTGTGAAACAAGCCAACGGCAACGGCAACAGCAACATCAGCAACATCGCCAACTGCAGCAACAGCAACTACACTTGCAACAGCCCCAGCAGCAACAACAACCACGTTGGCAGCAAATTGCAGCGGTGAAAATTGCATTGCCACAGCGAAGAAAAGGCGACTGCTGGCCATTATAAAGATTTTTTCCAGTCTAAACAAAGCCAAATGAGTGTTTCCCCCTCTCGGCAGCCCCCACTGATAAGGTGAGCTGGAAGGCCCAGCACTAATCGCAATGCTGCCCCATCCGCCAAGTTTTGCGGCGGAAAATCATAATAATATGCAGCTTGGCTGGCTAGAAGATGCCCTACGTTCCACTGGGCCGGTAAATAAATAGCACGAAATACTTAGGCTTTCTATGGAATTCATTGTGGGTGGCTAGAAAATATATTTACAAAGATTTAGCGATCAACCTATGAGTTGCAAGTTCTGGGTGCCGCGATATGTAGCCAGTATTGTCATTACTTATTCTGAATACTTTCACCAAAGTGCATTGCAGATTCGTCTTGAGTCGCCACCGCGAACCATGCCACACACTAAGCGCCGTTGCAACATGAGTCGCTGACAACAATGCAACTCTTTCACCGCGACTGCCCCCACCTCAATGTCTCCCCTTTCCGCAAGCCTCCCTCTATGGCTTCCTTTTGGCCATTTTGCCACGGCTCAACATTTCGCGCTCTGCGCACTTTTTTCGGGGGTTGCAAGTGGCACGTTGCAACGGCCACGTTAAAATGTAGGCCCAAAAGCAGAACAGAACGGCAACAGCAGACAGCCGACAGCCGGAAGAAAATTGCCGGCCAGGGAGGGTTTTTCGCGGGACTGAGGAGGGGCGGCTTTAAATGGAGAATGGGAGCGGACCTGGGGCATATGGGCAAACTGAGAACGGCAAACGGCAAACTGCACACACATGTGGCAAGCTGCTCGAGTAGGCGGAGCACGCGAAATGAGGCCTTTTTCCCGTTGGTGTTGGTGTTGGTGTTGCTGCCGTTGCCTTGGGTGCTGTTGTTGCTGCCTGTCTGCAGTGCGCGCCAAATGTAAACAAAATATTCGCGCGCCTGCCATAATTATGGCAACCAGCAACAACAACATGCAATTCTGTTCTGCAACAACGGCAATCAGCCCAAAAGCAACAACAAGGCAGCCATGCAATGCCCTCAATGTGCGCTATTGTTGTTGTTGCAGCCGACGTCTGCGTCGGCCTTTTGTTTTTGGTTGGCCAGTCAGTTAACCCGGCCCCAAGCCCCCGCCCCCTTCCCGCCCACACTTTTTTTGCAGAATGCGATGCACTTCATTAGCACCATCATTGCGGTCTTATTTGAGGTCTGTCTTGCGAGGATTCGATGGCTTGCAGGCGACATCTCTGTAACTGAATTTACTTGGTTTTACTTTTATTTTGGCATTATGATTGTTAACGCATTTCGGTCTTTGATTGCAGCTGCCATGTCACACTGTATTTGATTGATCTACCGGAAGAGGCAGGGTTGCATTTTACAGGTTAATCACTCGGCGGCCAGCGTTGCATTCATTCGATTATTCACTCCGCTCTATTTCCTCTCGATACTTTCCAAATACAATCGCTCATAGACTCGCTTGTGCTTAAGTTAATTAGTCGGCGGGCCAATAAATCAAATTGGCAATCATTGCATTATGCCAAAATCGAAGGGCTTTGAATACGAAATTAAAGTTTCGAACGCATGGCGGCGTAGAAGAAAACAATTTCCCTAATGCGTTGAAAAACTGTTAATGGCATTAAGCCGGGGCGACGGAGTCAGTCAAGGATGAGGATGTGGACGTGGATGAGGATGTGGATGAGGATCTGAGTGTTGAGGATGTGCAGGCTGTGAAAGTTGAGACGCTGCCGCTGGGCAAACATGAGTGATGCGCTGATTTAAACGGCAATTCATCAATGTCACCGAGGGTTTGGGGGAAATGGGGGTGGTTGGGCTAATGCTTCTTCCGTTTACTTTACTGTTCGCCAAGGGGGTGGTTGGGGTGGTATTTTAAAACGTTTGCATGTTTTTTCTCTGCTGGGCCAGAAACGCAGCCTCAACTTTAATTTCCGATTCGCTGGCTTATCGCGCTGGTCAGCTTTTGGTCGTTAGCTTTGGCCACACACGCTCGCTTACCAAAATTCCATTAAGATTTCTATCATTTTACATACGCAGTTACGACGCCAGCAGACTCACAAAAAATCCCCAAAACTAATGGCCAAAAAACGTAGTTGGAACGGAACTTCCTTGACCCGTCCAGCATAAAATCTTATAGTTTTGTTTGCCGGCCACTTGGCTCAACCGCACATTCAACCCTTGGCCACCTTGGCTTTTCCCCATTTCCCTATTTTCCTCTTCTTGTTGCTTAACATAAAGTGGCGCATAACAAATCTGTTTATTTGTATTACACATCCGGCGGATTGGACTGGACTTCCGTTTGGCATCTCCAAAGTATCCGAAAAAGGAACTTTGAACTGCAGTTTCTGGCTTTGAATAGTTATTGCCATTGGCAATTTGTTTTTAGTGCCGCATTTGGAGGCCGTTTAGCCGGGCTCTTTGATGGCCCCAAAATGGAAATCTAATTGGACGCGATGACCGGCCAAAGAAGCTGTCGAGGTCCGAAAGGGTATTGCCAAATGGATAAATGGCCGAACGGAGGCTTAGGCCTTAGACTGAGTTCTCAGCGATTGGGTCAGGCAGCTTGAAGCGTTGGGAGGGGTATACTCTTCAGTCTGATCGAGTACAGCGCACAATCTTGTTTGCATTTCCCACCCTAATGGCCATATAATCAAGGTTCCGAATGGCGCCTTCCCTGGCTGCTATCGTTTACATCATCGTGCAGGCTTTTCCCCGTCCCCGTCCCCGTCCCTCGACCGCGTTTTCCTTTTGCCCGGCTTTTCCCGCCCACTGACGCAGGCCATTCATTGGAGCCCGTGCGGTAATCTTATCAACCTGCCGCACGTTGGAAAAAACAACGAGGCAGAGCAGTGGCTGCACTGAGAGACAACACTGTTAGTATACCTATTGCTGGTTAGAAGTATTTCTTTTGATTTCCCGTAAGTCCAAGTTCCCTTCTCTTTTTCAGAATATCAAAATATTTACATTACCAATCCTACTGAGAAACTGCTGTTCCATTGTGGCGTGAATAATTAGTTTCCCAGACAATTGTGGTCAGTGAACGCGCTTTTCGCGCCGTGCAGCTAGACCGAATTCTTATCAGAGTTGGGGCTGGCTTAGCCGCTAGTTTGCGGTGGGTGGGGCCAGCCCCCAGCCAGTCAGGGATTCCCACTGAGATCGCGATAAGATCTCTGGCGTGCCGGGAAGCCATTGGCCAGGAATCGGAGGTGGAAATGAGGTAGTGCGGTACTGGGTACTTTGTTTGCTACTCACCGTTAAATGCTGAAACAGCCACGCTCTCAATATGTTGGTTGCTACTTTTGGGAAAATGCCACGTTTCTTTTGGTTCTTTTTGCCGCTCGCATCGTCGTCCTCCTCGCCGGTGCCCTCACCACTTCCTATGCTGGCGTTGCTGGCATCACCTGGAAAATTGTCGAGAAATGGGGGAAAAGTGAGTGGTGCTGCATAGTTGGGGCATCTTGCGAGGCCTATGTCAATATTGCCACAGTTCTACACACTACGGACTACAGACGTTGCCATAACCCCCAAAAGTGGGAAAATGGGAAAATGGGAAAATGAGCAGACTACTACTGCGCCAAGACAACTTCTGTGTTTGCTGTTCTGGTTTATGGCTGTTTGTCAAGTGGGCATAAAATTACTCGACTCGGTCGGTCGTAGCGATAATCATATGGATGACATTGTTTGTGACTGCAGGTCAGTAGACTGGGCTCTTCGGCTTCCAAGACTTGTTTATAAACAAAATTAATTTTTGTCAGGGCTGCCGCTTTGCTGTGGCTGTGGCTTCGGCTTTGGCCTTTGGTAATGTTCCTGCATAATTTTTGGTTAATTTAAACTCCCCAGGCTTTTATCTTTTGTTTGCCCCGTAGGCCCAGAAATCTTGTCGGCCAGGCGTTTCCTGTGTGCTTTCCTTTTCATCATCATCATCATCATAATCATCATCGTCAGTGGATCTCCCCAGACTGTGTATATTTTTGTTTAATATTAAGTATGTTATTTGTGTGTTTACTTAAAGTTTTAGTTACACTTAAGTAACTCAAATGCCAGCAAACAGGAAGCCCGAATCGCTGCGCACATGCAAACAAAATAAACCAGACCGAAACCAACTCCCCTCGAACCACAAAACCATCCATGGATTGCATAATTTCACGCTCCTTCCTCGACGATGATGATGAGGATGACGACGAAGACGACCATGATCATCAGTTTTTGGGGGCCCAAAACAAACATTGCCCAACCGGCAAATGTCTAACTTGGTAGCCGTAGCCGTAGCCGTAGCCTTCGCCTAATTCCTTCATAAATTTTCCCTGCTTTATCTTTGGCACAACACCTTTGGCATTTGCTTTCGCTCCACCTTCACTCCGGCTGCTTTTCATTAATTTTTCAGTTAACTCATTCATTAATTTTCACACACAGTAGCCACACCTAGACACAAACACTCAGGCATTCCATGGTGGTGGCAGACTTCACGCCATTTTGCGTAAACCGGAAGTTCGTTTTGATTAATTTAGTCGCCGATGGAGACGTTCGCTTGGCGAGTGGTCAGAAAAGTGCGAGGGGTGGGGGTTTTCGAAATGGGCCATAAAACAAAACCTGTGGCAGCAGACCAAATAAAAAATACGAAAATCCAAACAGAACCTGAGGAATTCCGATTGAGGAAAGGCAGACCACTCTATGCTCTCGAATTTGATAAAGAAAACGGAGATTTCGGGGCTAAGTTCGAATGAGCAATTCTACAATGGGAATAGCTGAAAGAATTTCAGATAAATATATATTAGCCTTTTCTATCGCTTAATATTCATTGGGGAAGCCGGAAAACTACGGGCTCCCAGGTAAAAATACAGTCACTAACCAAATCAGTGGAGCCCGAGCCGGAAAAGTTGTAAAATTAATTTACCAGAAAGAGGGAAGGGAACCGAAAACGTAAACAAAAGAAGTTCCCAAAACAATCACTTGTTGGAACCTTTCTAGCGCCTTTCGCCCCCAACTTCCCGCCATTGTTTGCATAATTTAGCAATTATGGAAATGCGCTGGCTATACTATATACTATAAAAAGCATATAGTATAAGGTACATGGTCAGCGGAATCTGGCCAAATGAAAGCCAGAAGTTGGCGTCCATTACACACAAGGCTTATCACCGAGCACTGTGAGCTGCACTTTAGTTGCTAAGAGCGCAGAAGAAACTAGCTGCTGGCACTTAACAACTTCATTAAAAGTTGTTTATGATCCTCGAAATTGATTATTCCACTCAGGGGGCGACGGGCAGGGGATCGCAGCCCGTCGTACCCCCAAATCCCCCAAATGCCCCGATTTCTCCAAGAGGAGCCCACTAGGCACTCAAATCGCGACGGGCGCGCGCTTAAGAAAACATGAAATTGATTAATGCATTTGCCTGCAACATGGATGGTCAGGATGGTCGGAGTTGGAGCTGCAGTTGGAGATGGAGATGGAGATGCAGATGGGTCGTCTTCGTCTCGGGATCTGGAGGCATGGCCGGGTATCTGGTATCTGCTGGTGATATGTAAATTCCTTCAAGTGGATTGCACTTTACGCCGACTCCAAGTTCGGTTTGCAGTGAGTGGTGTGTGGTGTGCGTTGCGTGTGTGTGTGTTTTTGGTGTTCCTGGTGTGTGTGCTCCCATTTCCATTTTCTTCCTCAGTTTTGTTGTTCGCTTGCGAGACCCAAACACAATTAATCTTTGGCCAGAGCCGCATCTTCTGGCTCGCTTATTATTGTTATAATAACGATGTGCAAAAGCACTTGTGCCACTTGAAAGGGCACTCGTGTTGCACAAGGCGAAAGGGGGGCAGAGAAGCGGAGGGGGGGAAAACCGATTAGGACGGTGCGTTTTCGTAGCTTTTTCCAAAGTGCTTTTCGCTGTACGCGATAAAGGCGCTTGCATTTTTGCTTTTAATTGAATTGTTAAGCGCAGCGCAAAACTTAATTAATTTTCACTATAACTTTGTGCACTTTATGGTGCCCGCTCGATTCCCAATAAGTGTGCTTTTTGGGGCGTGGGGAGGTGGAAATAAATTTGATGCCGGGCAATTTTCGTGGGTGGCTCACACAAGCACAAATACTCATTCCAGTTGGCATTTTTATTTATTATTGGCTTAAAGGACGAAGGATGCAGGACCAAAGACGCAAACGCAGACAGACATATAAATACAAGTATATATACAGTTTACTCGTATATAAGCGATGTGTGTGTTGTTATTGTTGCAAAGAGCTCAAAAAAAAAAACAAAAAAAAAACAAGAACTATAGTTGGTCCGCCTTGCTTGCCACATTTTTGTGTTTGTTTTCGGTACACTCTTTTTGCTCTCATTTTTTTGCTGCCTTCTACAATTGCGCAAAATTCCAATTTGCAGTAAATTTTGCGATTTTTCCTTTATACGGACATACAAAACATTTTTAGTTTCCTGCTGGCTTTTCCTTTTCCTTCCGCCTGCCGACTTCCTCCCCCAGAATGCAATTATAGAGTAAAGCTGACAAAACCCCAAATGCTTCGAGATGCCTGTGGAAAGTTGCCCGATTGATTAAGATTTTCCTGGCCAGCTGCCCCACAGAATCCGACTGAATTCTACTTTAGTGACTTCAATTAGTCCGGTTTTTTGAGCTGTGCAAACTGTTTTGAAAGTCACAAAAAACAGACCTCTACAGCCTATTCCTTACATCAATAAATATGCATCCTTATTTTCTGTGTAAAATTGCTATTTATACATATAAAGACCGAGCTGAATGCGTTTCTTGTACCGTCTGCATAAAATTCAATAACAAAATGCACTTTTCCACCCGTCAAGTTGCAGCAGCAAAAACAAACAAAATTGCTTTTCCAGCAGACGAGAAGCGAATGGAGATAGACAGTGAGGGCTATAGATATTTTCCTCTCTGGCTGGCAAAATATTTCCAAACTACTTGACTGTGTGGGTGAGCGGAGGCGGGGGAAAATCGTAGCAGTTTTCAATTAGTTTTTAAATAAACTTTTACCCGCACCAACTGAAATACGCCAAATGCCACCCCGCACGGGGAAAACTTTCCATTTTCCATTTTCTGGTGGGTGGATGGGTGGATGGGTGTATGGGCGGCAGCAGAGTTGGCTTTTCCGTTTGTTTATACAAATCCATGCCAATCGTCTGTCAATCATTTTCCAATGGGAACGAGTAGCATGGCGGAAGTCTGCTTAAGCTCATTGGCTCGCCGAGTATTTTCCGCCTTGCTTTCTCAGGGTGCCTAACTAATTGAGTTTTGGACCGAAATGATAATAAACAGCGTCGGCGGTCTAGGCCGGGTTAATTGAATTCAAAACATGTCAAAAGAAATCAGCCATCACCCTGGGTGGCCGAAAGCGCCCTCCGCCGCCATTTGTCGTCAGCTGCAGCTTGGCAAACACTCGAGAAACCGTGGCTCAAGTGTTGGCCAAGAAGCTGCGCTTGAGCCAGCCACTTCAGAGAAAAAAAAATAAAAAAGCACTGAGAAAACAGGGGAATACATGGAAATACAAAACAGAAGCGCCTGACAAAAGCCCTGGAAAGGGCGTCATCGTCATCCACATCATCATCACGCTCATCACACGCTCGTCAAGTGGGTGGCTGTACAGTAAACACTCGAGCCGCGGACCCCCAAGGTGTTAGCCCGCTTATTAGCCATCATGTGCGAGCGGCCTTAAGCCCGACTTGCCTGATTTATGGCCCGGCATTTATTGTTTATAAAACGCTTTATTGAATCTCCGCGGCGCAGTGATAAACACGAGCAATTCATTTCGGTTTAGACGGCCACCAGTTAAGTGATATGCATACGATCGGCGAATTAATAAGGCTTAAGTGGCACTGGCAAATGGCTTAATTAAACACGGAATACTCAGCGTGGTTTGACTTTGCAATCGCCTGTGCGTTATGGCTGCTCACTCGGAAAAACAGTCCAATAAAAATATAATAATAATAATAACAAATACGTATTGACTGCATTTTAAGTGCGCTGCGTTTTCCATACGACCCTTCCATTTTCCCGGCAATTTTCATGCACGAATCGAAATGGGAAAAATATGAATAAACTGCAAATTATCGGAGGCCGCAGAATGATGATGGATCACCCAATCGCGCAGCGCCATAAAACGGCAACAAGTCAATAAGAACAACTACAAGAGCTCAGGCATATGGCAAACCAGACTCCAAAGTCAATAGCACTTTTTGTGGCCATTTTTTGTGATTTTTTCCGTTTCGTGTTTGTTGTTCCCAGGCAGGCACAAAAACAGTTTGAACAGTTTGAAGTATTAACACAAAAGCCGCTTTAGCTTTCGGCTTTGCCATCCACACACGAATATATGTATGTATATCTATGGAGAGGAGGCTTTTTATGGAGGATTTGTGTGATCCGCTGCAATATTTTGAGCCGGCCAGCAACAACCAACAGCCAACAGCCAACAGCCAACAACCATCATCATTGTCGGCTCGTTGCATTGTTTTTGGCCGGCAAATAATAATAAAAGTAATAATAATAATGTTGCAAAGGAAAAAGCCTGGCGATGCTGCAACATGTTCATGCCTCATTATTTTCGTACCGACTTTTGCGGTTCGCCTTGGACTCTTTGGATTTCGGTTCTCAGGCTGAAGCTGGAGTTCTTTCAATAGGCTTATAGAACATAAAAAAGAATCGGAAAAAGGCGAAAACCCAAAACTGGCTGGATGGCGAAAAAGTTTATTAAAATTCCAGGCCAGGCCAGGCCATTCCCGTAAAAAACAAAAAAAAAAAACAAAATGAGTAACAGACCAAAATCCAACACATGTTTTCACGCCTACGGGGAAAAAGCGCTCGAAGAAAGATGGAAAAAAGCTGACGGAGCACCGCCTTAAATGCAGATTAGCCATATGGAGTTGCCGTCTCTGCTTTCGACTCCACTCGACTCGACTCTCCGCCCCATATGCAAAGCAAATTATTCAAATTCAATTATTGTCAATTTTATTTATTATTAATGCGCATAATTGTCAAATTTGGCAAATTTATGAACCCCTCTCCGCGTTGTTTGGTGTCCCAAGTCGCCTGCGTATGCAAATGGCGCAAGACAAGATTTCTGTGCACTCAATCCGCTCGAATTTATGAGGCTTGTTGAAATGCATCTCACCTGGCCCTTGCCGGATCGCATCCAGGTTCTCGAGTCCAGAATAAGCCAAGACAGGACTGCCCGAAAGCCGAGCTCTGGAGTCGATCTGCCACCAAGGGAGTTGGCCGGGAAGATTAATGGCAGCGGGTTTAATTTGTTTTCGGCGTTCAGGTATTCATTACTCTTTATGCACTCGCATTGACACCTTTTCGAATGAAAAAAGCACTCAAATATCAGATGGGGACCCACAGGTGAGTGACTCGTATTTGATTGCTCCTTTTTTGGTTTATTACCCCCACACTTTGTGTTTGTTTTTTATTTTTGGTTCTATGCCTGGTGGTGCTACACGATATTAAGCAATTCATAAGCGTGTAATTTCGCTTAGCACACGAACCAAATGAAAACACAAGCCGGGCAAAAAAGGTGAAAAAGTGGAAAAAATGGAAAAAATGGAAAAAATAAACGTCTGCAGTTGCGTTTTTCTGACATCAAAATTGCAGTTGTGGCGCAGACAACGCGCCAAATTCAAGGCGGTCCCAGACATTGGGGCTGTTGTGCTGCTTCTTCAGCTTCCTCCCCCTGCTTTTTGCATACATTTTTTTAATAACACAGCAAATGTTTTTTAACAGCCTGAAAATTATAACGCATCAGTCACGAAAACATGAAGACAAGAAAATATTTGCTGCATTTTTTCCCCGATTTCGCTTCGCTTTTTTCTTATTTTTTGTTGGTTGCTTCCTGTAGTTTTTCCCCTACTTCCCGCCGCCTGCCCGCCTGCATGTGAAAATCTTTTTTCTCTCTGTACGCTGGTGTTACCCCATTTTGTGCAGCTTTGTCGGCCATATTGGAGGGAAAAGTCTGGCCAGAAAGAGAGAGAGAGAGGGCGTGCAATAAGGAAAGAGAAAACCGGGAGCAAAGTGCAAAAACTCGAAGTGAGGGCGAGCAAAAAATTCATTCCGCATTTATTCCGCCGCTGTACTTAGCAACAAAATGGTTTATTAGATTGGAAAACGAGAAGCTGAAAAAACGACTATACAAGTCGATTTTGTTCTGCCCTCCAGCTTGAGAATATGCAAATCAAGTTAAGTAACAGACAGCATAAATTAAAATATACGAAAAAGACCAAAGAATCCAGATGCGATGGGAGATGGAAGATGGGATAGGGGAGATCAGATGAAATGAATCTCTGAGCCGCTCGACAACTGTCCAATAATAATGAAATATTTCCAACTCGAAACCAACCCGAGAAATAGACAGAAAACACACTTTTGTAAGGCGGACAGTGTGTTATTTGTTGTTCGCCGTTATTTATGTTCTCCCTACTAATTTCGAATTTGAATCTTTTTGGCTGTGACCTTTGGGGCCTACCAGGCCATATCGATTTGGAATTGGGTAGATGTGTGTATTTTTCTTAATTTTGAAAGCGTATTAAATTACGAACCGCGAGGCCCCCATCCGCCATCCCATCCGCCGGAGCCGAAATTGAAACAAGAATTTCAAGTATGTTTAACCCAAAACACAGAAGGAAACAAGCCGAACCGAAACCGAAACAGAAACAGAAACAGCCACAGAATCGGAATCAGAATCAGAATCGAAATCAAAATCAGAGAACCAAAAACCAAAAACCGAAACCGAGTGGAGTGGAGTGGAGTGGAGAGGAGTTGGAGGCTCTGGGCTTAAAGTATTTCACAGGAAATCTTCGGAAACGCAACCCAACAGCAACAATATGTTCTACACATTTCTTGCGACCCCGCTCCCTGTGTGAGAAATCGAAATCCCAAAAACTAAATCCTATAATGCCTGCGAGGGGCGCACACTCATACCCATACCCATACCCATACCCATATCCATACCCATGCCCATCGAAAAATCGAAAAATCCGACCCGCACTCACGCACGGCTACATTTTGAAATATCTCATCGTGTGTGAGTGTTCGGTGTGCGGCTTGGTATTTCTTCTCCACATAAATGCATATACGTACATCTATATATATATACACACTCTTTTTTCAGCCTTTTTGTTCACAGCCCCACCCCGGGTTCCCAGTGCCTTTTTGGCCCCATCTCAAGAGTCACAACCCGAACAGAGCGTGCGCTCACTCTATAATAATGATAAGATGGCTCTTAATCACAAAATTTATATGTGCCCCGGCATTTAGTTGTTCCTTCTCCCCAAAGCCAACGCCAAAGACCAGAAATCAAGGGATCTGGAAACTGAACACTGAACACTGAACACTGAACACCGAGCACTGAAAACTAAAGACTGAAGACGAAAGACTAAAGTCTGAAGACTGAAGACTGAAAGGCCCGAGCTGAACTGAACCGAACTGATGATGGGTTATGCGCGATTATAATTATGGGTCCTGTCATTCCGCATCTCAAAGTCTACAATTTTCAGTTTAGTGCGGAACAGAGATGGGCAGACATTCCTCAGTCATTCCACTCGTTGGGTTTCTCCATTTTGCCAAAACTGCAAACTGGGCCAGAACTCCGATCTCGGGGCGTGGCATTTTTTGGGGGCTTGGCCCACTTCATTGGCAATAATAATTATACAATTATAGGGAGAAAGCTTACCGCTTGCACTCGTTCCGAAGTTGTCTGCAAGTAGAGATAAAATGCAAAAATTAGTTAATTATTTGTACAACTTTGTTTGGGGTGCAACATTAACCTGCCCGAGACCCAAATATGTCCGAACTTGACTACAATAAATCTTCTCATAACCCAAACACAAGATTTCAAGTCCAACAAGAGAAAAAATTGAAAAATTTCGTGCAGACTTCTGACCGCAAATCGTTGCTTTCTTGTTTTTATGTCGGATTTCACTGGCTATAAAATATGAAATATATATTCACACGCAGAAGGGAACAGAAGGGGTGGCAATCAATCAAAACTATGTGAAGCCTGTGGAATCAGCACCAAGTGTGAGTCCAAAATATTTGGAGCACATCAAATGCAGCCTCAAAGAAAACAAAAGATGAAGCCCGTTTCGGTTTCAACATTTTATTTTATTACCTCTTTTTTGAGCTCGGCCATCATTTTGTTTCCCAGTTTTATTTTTGGCTTTTTCGCACGCAAATCATTTTTTTGTTAGCCGAATGGTGTTTTGTTTTCGAAGCATTTTATGATTTCGCCGGGGGCTTTATGCAAATCTCGTTTCGCGGGCGATACCTTAGCAATAACAAAATATTCAATCTGTGAGATAATTTTGCATGTGCTCGCCAAGCTCAATACAGGATTGGGACCAGTTGAATACAATCTTTTGAGCATCGATAAGTTGGTCTCGATATCGCTAACACAAATGAACTCAAAGAGTAATCGCAATAAGTAAGTTTCCCCGATTTCTGCCGTTTTCCTCACATCGCTCCGAAGTCATTTAGTCAGTTTGTAATGACATGGCTGAGAGTATTTTGTGAACTCGGCTTTTGAGGTTGGCCAGCTCAATTGCAGCCTTGGCATCTCGCAATGAACGCGTTCTTCTTGTCATTTAAGTCATCGAACACGCATTGGTACATTGTACAGAGTGTCGGTGTCGGGTTTGTTGTCGTTGCCCGTCTCTTTCCTTTGGGCCAGCTCCTTCTCTCTCTACTCGCTGGATGTCAGTGTCCTGGAACGGCCATCACCAGGCCAACTTCCCAACTTCCCATCCTCCCAAGTTGCAGTCTTGGTCTGAGTCTCAGTCTCAGTCTCAGCTCGATTCCAGAGTGGGATCCCCAACCTCCCGAGCAGTTCATAAATAATCGTCTTAAGTTGATGCGGTGACTGTCGACGATTGCTGGGTGGCACTCGCTGCAGTTGATGGCACACCGAAAGAAATAATAGCACTCGCCGCTGTATCTTAGCCATTTAATAGTCATATGCTTCACTTATGACCTAAGAGACCCCTCGTTGGGCGCCATTTGTTTGTACATACGGATATGGAATAGCCTCTGTTAACATCAAAGTTGCGTTTTTTTCTGTGCAGCTTTTCGGCTTGGCTTTCTGGATTTAAGCCGAGTGCTTAACATTGCAGTTCGAAAATGAAAAGGCTCGGGAATTTATCAGTACTGCAGCAGAAAGAAAGCAAAGGCGGCTGGGAATCGTTCAGATATTCCGAAAACGTTTCAATGAATGTCAGCAACGCATTGCTTCAATTTTTTCAGTTCTGTTCTTTCTGTTCTGTACTGTGTTTTGCCCCCCTCCGTTTGCCGCCATACAAAGTTGTGTCGTGTCTGATCCCATTTTAATATTCTAGATACTTAAATAAAATACGTGTCTGGCCTGGCCAACAAACGTTTATTGTTTGTTAATTGATTTCGCAGCCAAAGAGCCAAAGTTCTGGTTAAAATGCAAAGTGCAGCTTTTCAGTTGGCGGAGAGGAAAACAAAACGAAGACAAAACTTTGCACACTGCTCTGCCTGGCATTTGGTATGCAAAATTTGTTTGCCTTTCGGCCGGGCCAAGATCGCTGGTCTTCTTCTTCTTCTTCTTCTTCTTCTTCTTCTTCTTCTGGTCTCTGGTGCTCCATGAGCTGGCTCTGGTGTTCGTCTTCTCGGCTTTTGGGCGCAATTAATTTGCAGACAGCGAATCAGCCTTGAGGCTTTAAGCAGTTGACAATTGTCAAGGACTGCGACAACTTGGCGGCTGAACGCAAAGTTGTTCGTCTCTACGCGGTCGGTTGTCCGTTGTTGCTTGCCTCACGGATGGTTGTTGTTTTCCACTTGCCACCTGACAGCTGACAGTTGCGAGAGACTTTGTCTCTATGCCTCGGACTTGGGTCATTTAACGGTAATTACCAAAATGCTGGCCGCACAAAAAGCTTTCCGCGAACGAAGGCTGGAAAACGCTTTGCCCATTTTCCCTAGTTTTTTTTTCCCCTAGTTTTAGCCGACTTTCCGAAGAGCAGAAAGAGCTGGTTGAAAGAGCAGCTCAAGTGCCGACAAAGCCAAAGCGGCCAAGTGAAGCATAAAAATGAAGCACCCAAAACGAAGAAAACCTCAAAAATTGCAGAGCCACAAATAGAAGTAGAAGTCGCTGTACACTGGAATCTTTTTGGTTGCAAATAGGATCTACACTTAGAGTACCAATCACTTAGGTACGAAAAAGCTCACTTTACGAGTCCCGCGTTGGGCGCCACTTTTGTTTTATTGATGGTATTGATTAATGTTGGGCAGCCAATCTAACCAAATTGTTTCATTTCCATTGCTTTTGGTAACATATTTTTGCAGTGTAGGAACCCAGGCACACGATTTTCCATTTGGCCAGAGCCGAGCTGCGCGAGACTCTCGAGCGCGACTCACAGTCTATTTATGTGACTATTGAAGTGGGCTTTCTGTTCGCTTTCTGGGGCCTCCTCTTCAGCGGAGTCGGAGTCCATGCTCCGCACTCCATAATACTCCAGACCTGAAGAGACTGCGGCGGCTCGGGCTTTGATTTTTGCTTGATTTCTTTCAAAATCGGCTGCAGCTAAAATAGAGATGCAGAGCAGGGCTCCTCCGGACCCCAGAACCTTGGGCCTCCGAAGAAGAGATGTGGCTCGAGTGGAGTCTGCTTTTATTTTCTTAAATAATTTTTTTTCTTCTTTGTGCTTTTTGTGTTGCATGTGCAGTGACTGTGACGCCATTTTCAGGCGAAGCGTATGCAAAAATAAGAGAGAGAAGCCGAGAAGACCGAGGCTGGAGAACATGTCCAAAGGCAAACCGCCAAAAGGATAATCAGCAACAATTTAGTATTATTACACCACGTTTCGAAGCCATCGAAAAAGGGTTGGGGCTGGGGAAAGGGGAATGGCGAGGAAGGTGCGGAAGGGGGCGGAAGGGGGCGGAACGGGGCAAAAGGTGGAGCACACAAAGTTGTCTGTCAGAGGCTCTGGGCCCTCTTTTAAGCCTGGCTGAGCTCTCGAGTATGCATTTCAAAGAAAATCATTATTATCGATGCGGCAAGAGGATGAAAAAGAGGCTGTGGCGGCAGGAGGATGAAGGCCCCGGGTCTTGCCTTTCGGTATTTTCACGTAGTTCGTAGATTGAGTTTCAATGGAAAAATGATTTGCAAATTGACTTTAACGAATTGCCAGCCAGCAACGAGCAGGTTGGCTATTGGGCATGTTATGGAATTTTGATTACAGCATTTGCTATTAGAAGAAAGCTGCGGCCCCATGTAATTGGCACGCATTTGGCCGAACACTTTGGATCTATGGATCCATAAAGAGGCACCTCTGGGACCTGCACCTCCAACCGCTCCGCCATTCAGAAGACAATCGAAGGCGTTCGCCGGAGCCATGTCGATGCCATTTTGATGGCCGTTTCATTGGCATTGGCCAGGCCGAAAGTCTGGCTGAGACTGAGACTAAAAAACTGAAGATACTCGGGGCCGCAGGCGGGACGTCTGATCTGATCCATGGCCGCCGATCAGGCGCACTCTCGAAAAGAGCTCACTTGCAGAAATTTTCCTAAAATAAGCGCTTTCCTAAGATAAGGTGTCTTAAGGAATTCAATTGTAATAAAATATGTCATAGTAATTGGTAAGTATTGATCAGGGATTGCGCGTTCCAATGTAATAGATCATATTCACAACAAGAATTTCTTTAAATGACTTTATCATAATCCTTTTCTCGCCGTGCTGGATTGAAACTCCGACTGGAACTCCACTGCGGAGGAGCCCTTGCCCGTTGGGCGATGCCAGTTCGTATATCATTATAGAAATTACCTACTCTCGGCAGCAGCCATTGTTAGTACTTTGCCATTAACGTTAACTCTCTGGCACAATCTGAGCCGCTTGATCTCTCGCAGTTGCTGTTGCTGTTGCTGTTGCTTTTGCCTTTGCAGCATCAGAAGCAGCCTCATCGATGGCCCGGCGGAAATTAAAAGAAAACTAACCAGCCAACCAGCCAACCAGCCTACCAGCCACAAAAAGCCAGCACGAGGAATCAAGGGAAAAAAATAGAAAAAAACTGAAAAATACATGTTGTAAATTACTGAAATCTAATGGAAACGTTGACGTCAGTTGGTCTCGTGATGATAGCTCAAGTCCGCTGATAAGCCGCACTATCAACTGATAGCTCCCCAGACAGATAGCTGTGGCATGGAGTTGGGTAACTCTGGTGGAGGACGGATTACTTACCAGGACTACCGAGGAAGACTGAGGAATACAATCGCCGGGAGGCGTCTGCATTGCGAGCATCGGCAGGTGAGGACCATTCTCTTCGACACCATCGACCTGCAAAAGATGGAAAAGCCGATCGTTAGAAGCCAATCAATCACTATTAAAGCTGTTATATTCAAATGCATAAGTGAAAATAATGAGCAAGTGCATGTACGTACAAATGCCATAAAAGTCCATTAAACTAGCAGCAGTACTTTGTGTAAACCTGACTAAATTCTATTAAAACGCAAAGTACAAATTGCCTGGCTGTAAGACGAGCTGTAAATTATCGCTGCACTACTTAGTTATCACGGCGGGAAAACCACGTATAATTATTAATTCAATTCTCCGCGTTCCTAAGCCTTTCGGCAAACGAACTGAAACTCATTTCCAGTTAAGGCATCCGCGGCAGCATTAAGATCTTGAGCCACTCTAAGCCACCGACTGACTGACACGATTCGCAACACTTGTCAACTTAATGCTTTTCAACCGATATTGACAGCACACTGAATACGTTAAGCCAACGCATATATCTTATGATATCTGCTGAAGGCTCCGCAGATAGTTGTCTCTGGGCTTTCGTCAAAAGTTCGGGGAATGACAGGTGCCTTGGCCCGACCCCAACACCTGAAATTCCCAATAATCGCAGAATGAAAAGAAACCCTCGAGGAAAACGGGCCACAAAATGTATAAACATAAGAACCTCAATGGACACTTTAAGCTTATAAAACTTTAAATGAAATACGTAGTGCTGGGAAATGAGCGGGGAAAATGGCGCTAATAATAATTTGGTTTATTGGCTTTAAAGCACAATGAAGGCGGTTGGGAAAAATGAAGTGAGGGGGCGTGCCGCGTCGTACAACAATAGCAACCCTCGGCCAATCTCCCGGCAATTTCTATTATTTTTTTAAGCACTTTCTTGAGCTCAACGACGCGGGCAGACAAGCAACGCACCTTTATTTAAATTTCCCATTTTTTTCCCTTTTACCTCGCTTCCATTCTGGTCAGAAAGGCGGGCGGAAAAGTCGGGGCCAGACTACGCTTCGTTTTCTTCTTAATGGGCAATTTTCTTGGCAGTAAATGGGCACGTTTTATGAACGCTTTTGTGGGGTGTTTATGGGGTGGTCCTGACGCCCAGCCTTACATCCACCCGCCCTCGCAGAGCCACCCCCGGGTGCCACGCCCCCTTGGGCGTAGCGAATGCAAGTCGCTATTGTTTTTTTTCCGAATGAAATGGAATATTAAATTGCCGCTGAAACTGCACCTGTCCAATTAAAATGTAACATAATATGGCCGAAATAAAATCGGCGAAAACAAACAGTGGAAAAATATCTCTATAATTGGTCATCAATTTGAAATGCTCTTCGGTGATAATAAATTTAAATTTCCAATGTTATACTACTTCAACTATCTTTTCGCGTGATTGGCGCATAAATATTCGTTATTTTGTGACATTTTATGTGATTAATATTATTGTCCTTTTCCAGAAAAGGAAAACGAATTTTCTGGTGTTATGTTTTGTTTATAATTAAATTGTTAGCCCAAATAGTTGCCTAATATTTTCAGCTAATAGAATTTGACCTGACAACGTGTTGTTTCTATGCACTCAACCGAAATCAATATCAAAATTAATAGAGATTTTTGCTGGCAACAAGACCAACAACATAGGTACAATGAGTGGCCGAAAAAATTGTTCGCACATAAATCTTAGCGCTAAAAAATTTTATTGTCGTTTTTATTGTAAGGAAATAAAATAAAAAAGCCGCGGCAAAACAAAACAAAGTCACAACAACAACAACACGAAGAGACAGAGCCAAACAGTCTGCTGATTTTCGCTCTCCCAAACAAACACACATGCACACATGGAACAAACACAGGCACACACACACGTGCATCCGCAGACTCTCCCTCTCTCTGTCGCTCTTCGATGGCCGCGTAAGAAGGCAGCGCCATTTGCCTCGCAGCGGCTCTGCTCCCTCTTGCTGCGCCAGAGCGAGACGAAGCTAGTGAAGACATAAAAGTGCGGCGAATTGAGCGGTTTTTTTTCTTTTTTTTGCTTTCTGCCAAGTTAATGATTTTCGATTTTTGTGACTTGACTAATTCGATTTCTAAGTCCCTCCGCTCTTCTTCTTTATGTCTATTGCCTTATGCAATGATAAATCAATAAGGCCAACAAAGCCAATTCGCTTCGCTTTAACTGGCCACAAACAAGAAAAAAAAGCTTGAAAAATGCCACAAAATATATATTATTTAAAGTCAAAATGCTCTTTCGGATTCCTTTGTTTATGGGGCTTTTAAATGTCACAACTCTCGATTCTAAGAATGTGCTAAAACATTTATGGTTCGCTGGTCTCCAAATGTATTTTAAATTATACTTGCTTTTTGTGTTGTTCAATTTGCTTTAAAAATGTTTTTTAAATTATCTTGCTGTTGTTCTATTTTATTTTTGCACGTTATGCCACCTTAATGTTGCCAAATGTTTTTCAATTTCAATTTCGTTTTGTTAAATTTGATTGTATTTTTAGTCCCCTATTTTGGGTTTGATCTTTTAAGATATCGGTTTCCTTTAGTTGAATTTCAAATTACCTTAGTTAGCAGCGACTTTTTGTATATTTCAGATTTTATATGTTTATTTTTAATTTCCTTTGTTGCCTTGCTTGATTTGCTTTTGGCGTTTTGTCGGTGAAACGCAACGAACGATTTTCTATTTTCTATTTTTAGTGGCACTATTTCGGTGGCGACCCCATTTGCTTTTCAGCCTCTAGCTAAGTGTATTCTTTCTCCCCACATTCAGCGCCCGAATTTTCCCCGCTTTTCCCCGAGTTTCCCCAAAACTTTGTGAAGTGCCCATGGGCCTGATAAATGGCGCTTAGGCATTGATTAGATGCCCCACAGCTACGAAATGCATTTGCCTTATCACCCGTGCACTTCTCACACACACTGGCACACATTATAACTAACACCCATTATGCCCCCACCCTCATCAAAAAGTATTCCCCCTCACACCCGGCAACTGCCGAAAAAAGAAAAACAACAGACGCAACGAAACGAATTTTCCATTTTCCATAGAGTTCACTTCACCCCAATGCCAAAGTCTCTTCAATTCCGTTCAGTGCAGTGAGAAAAAGGGGGCTAAGTAGTTAAACGTTTGCATACGTTTTTTATTTAATATCTCATTACATTTTATGGCGTTAGTTCGACGATGCACTAGTTAGTTAGTGCAAGTAATTGCTTAAAGCGAAACCAGTTGCTTGTGAAATCACAGAACAATCTGATAGTTACACCTCTTTGTTCTCAGTGCACTTGTGTCTGTCGCCTCTCGTCTGTGTGCGGGTCGCTTTCTGTGTCTGTGTTTAGATAAAATTGTGTTTCGAAAGTGACAGTTGAAATGATTTATCACTTGCCAGCGACTGCAAGGCGCAAACGCCAACGCCGCCCCGCCCCTGCCACCCACCGCCCCCAACTTGGCTGTCGTCAAAGTTTTTAGCACAAGCTCCCTTCGGCCCCCTTACCCCCCCAGTCACACTCCTTTGCTTTTCTCAGCCCCAGCATGTTTGGCATTTTTGTGTAGAAAAATTGAAAATTGCTTTTTTCGTCAGCAGCCCCCTTTCGAAGCCCCCCTCCCCTCCCTCTGTCCTGCTATCTGAGGCAACTTCATCTTTCCAATTTTCTACTATTTGGCTTTGTTCCCCCATCCGCAGCCTCTTATTGCCGTTGTTGCTGTTGTTATCTGTGAGTTTTTCATATGAAAATTTAATTCCGCCCAAACCCCACCACCCACCGCCCACTCAGCCCGGCGCTCGCCCCCTCCACCCCCTCCACCCCCTCCGCACTCAGGCATTTCCCATGCGAGCTAATTTAAAAATTGTTGTAATTTTTTCGCTTTGCTCTTTTGGAATTTTTGCAATGCGCGACAAAATGATTTATGTCGCTGCCTGGGCGAAATTAAAAATATTACAAAAAGCCACAGCAGCAACAACAATGTGAACACATTTAAATAACATAAAAAAATATATAGATATGTATATATTTGTGTATCTGTACATTTGTGTATATATGGTGTCACTTGAAGCTTTAAAATGAAATTGTTGTCGTGTGGAAATTTACGCTGGCTTTTCTCAATTTTTATGCCCAGCAATTCCGAGCGACTGCAGCGGTGGCTGGAAAAAATTTAAAATAAAATACATAAACCGCAACAATTTTTCAACATTTTGCACGTGTAAATTTTCCAATTGGTTGAACGCGCCAAATGAACGAGGGGGAAAAAGTTGCAAAAATGGGTAGAATTGTGTGGCGGCCAAAAAAAAGGGGGTTGCTTCGGGGGGGCGTGGCTCTCTTATTAAAGGTCTATCTGATGGATTCATTTAGACGATTCTTGAGGCAGGTGCGCAAAATAATGGCTGGAAATTATGGCGGCATATGAAATTTGCATAGGCTGTGGGAAACCCTTTGGGGTGGCCCTGAAAACTGGAAGACAAGTTGGGAAAACAGGTATTCTATCCGTCTCAGTATGCCTCTTCATCAGTCTTCATGTTTTTGCATTGCCGTCGGCTGTTTATAGTCCAGTTTTAATATTCGTCTCACTCAGTTGGGCGGCGGAAATTAAAAACATGAATAGAATTCATTTGAAATCACTCTTAAAAAGGTTTTTAGCCGAATTAATTTAACAGATCTTTTGAAACGAAACAACTTTAAGTAATACCGAAGAAACTCAAATTTGATGGCATGATTTCTACAATTTTGCTCATGGGCAATACCGAAAAGATTAGCCATATAATATAGATAATATAGATTTTAAAGGCTTGTATTCGAGTTGCATTCATTTATTTCAGTTCTATTTGAAAAATTAAAGCCAGCCTGCTAAAGAAATAACGCAAACAAAATGTTGTTAACCCAAATTGCATTGGCATTTCATCTCTGCAATCTTTCATTTGGTTTTTCCCCTCACTCTTTTTTCTTGGCTTTTTGTGTAATTATTCACATGCAGCGAATGAATTTTCTGTTTTTTTTTTTGCAGTTTGCCACGACGGCCGGAAGGTGGCGCTGCTGCAGCTGCTTTACGAGCACGGAGCAAA